CTAACAGCCTTTAAAAGTGTTCTGGTATCTCAATTTGTCTTTCTCTAAATAGTCTTCAAGACCACATAGCAAACCAAAGTACGTTCTGTGAGAGTGTCACTTTTTTCTGTGTCCTGGATTGCAAGTGATAGTAGGTATCATTGTTTCCTTCAGTTTGACCTCATGATGGCACTGTTGTCTCACTGTTACTACAAATGAATACAGGGACAATGATGAAGACATTCATTTATTGACACAGGAACCTGAGGAATTAGTTTCTGTGCGGTTCATCAATCAGATCATTTAAAAGCAGAACTGCAGCATGAGAATGACAAAACTACCTCAGATGAAGTGCAGTCCGAATGGCACAACGGTCGACATACATCCAGGTACCATTCCCAGCAGAAGTAAGGACTCATGAGGGAATCTCTGCCCTAAATCTGCTTCCATAAAAGAGCAATTAGTTTTTCTGGCCAAATTTCCAAGTTAATACACCAGAAGATCTCACAAAGCATTCTTCTGGAAAATCTGGCACTAAGCTGTTTTGGTCTTGGCTGGAGAAAAAGAAAGAGGTGCCACGACTTCCGGGAACTGGTGGATGTTCTAAAAGTCTGAAAAATTCATACAAATGCTGGACAATTGTCCATCCACACGTATAAGTGGTCTATGAGATAACATTCAACAGCTCACACAGCCAACAGCAGTCCGTAACCATGCTAGCAGATTAGCTCACCAGCGTTACGGCTAGCTCAGCTGACTGGTAAAAAGTTATAGTAAACTTTGGGAAATGGTCACTGGTGATCTAACATGTGTGCTAATTGTAGTTGATGAGCTATAACATGCAAAATCTCCAGAATAACTGACTTTTAAAAATTACTCCTAACTGTGGCTGAAAAGCTAATTTCTAGCTTCTACAGTAAACTCGTGTTTGAGGTGAGGTGGCTTTGAGATGTATCATCATGTATCACGTGTGTGTGTGTGTGTGTGTGTGTGTGTGTGTGTGTGTGTGTGTGTGTGTGTGTGTGTGTGTGTGTGTGTGTGATAGAAAAGCAGTGTATGAGTGTGTGAGTTAATGGGTGTATATGGCTTTTTGAGGTTGAAAAATTAGAAAAGTGCTTTAGAAGTTAATTTACCACTTGACATTAAGAACAGATGGACTGCACACTGGATCAACAGAGAGACGTCCTTCATTTAACAGCTTTAATAAGGGATGTCTGTGTCGTTAAAATGTGTTAACTGAAAAAAAATAGACTATCCACGCATACAGTTGGTATTATGTCTCTGTTTCCAGGAAATATCCACATTATAGAATTGTGTTATTTAACATTATAACACACTATTTCTGTTATTAACCTACCAGTACAGAATAGTAAATAAACTCCTGACAGTGTCTAGTCAAATTCATTCTTTAAACTTTGGTCTTCACACTGCTTTTAATTCATATCTGCATTATTTTGTGTTTGAGTTGGGAATTTTGCTGATCAGAATGATTTATCAGTATCACTATTATCGAACAGATTGATTTTGACCATCAAATCTTTTTAATCTAAAATGACAACACAAGAATATATGTGCAAATAAACAAAGGCCTGAAATTCCTTTGTTTACCAAACCAGTGATATGGATGAATTTTCTACCAGTCACAGTTCACCTGATGCAGTTACCTGAATGTTGCATTAATAAACCCAAGAACATGCTGCAGTGTTGACAGAGCAAACCTGTGTTAACTATTAGCTATAATCATGTTACTGTTAGGAGTGTTAACTGTGATAGAAATCTCCAGATAAGCAGATTATGCTGCGCATGTTAACGTTCTCAGTGAAACCTTGTGTATATGAGACCAGTCACAGAACCATGTCTCTGAGGACCCCCTGGAACCATCAAGGACCCTTTGTGTGGCCCCACATGGGAAAATCTAAACTTGAAGCTGAAAAGCAGCAAACAGGACCTCTGCTAACACAGGATACACCCACCTACACTTTCCATTATCCAGGCTTCAGTTATCGGTATATGCAGAAAATACCAAGTCATTAAAAATCATTAACTCACAGAAGCCTTCAATGAATGAAATATGAACCAGGACGAGACATACGGATTAGATCACAATAATTGTCCGAAACTATAAACCACCCTCTCCTCTGGCTGCCTTCATGATACAACAGAAAACTGCCTGTAACTTTCCTGCGGGGACAGATTGTTTTCTCTTCGACATCGGTTTGTAATTTTCTCAACTGTGATACGTGAATACGCTAAAGTGGGAACCGAGCACACAGTTTAACCAACTTTAGTATCTTAACAACATGTCCGTTTTACCTTTCTGCAGAGATCCTTCCGTTCACTTTTTCGGTCCTCGATGAAACATCTTTTCTGTTATTTCACTCCGGACTGAAGCGACTCCTCTGGCTGCACAAATTCTTCTCTACAACAGCACTCTCTGCCGCCGCTTGATCGCGGGCTTCGCAGCGGATTTTAATCCTTTCTCCCGGAAAAGGTGTTCGTTCGCGGCCAAAAACTTTCCGTCCTTCCCAACAAATTTCATATTTAACCGTAAAAAAAAGGAAGCAATACAGGAGAAGAAACAGGAAGCTCCCCCTGCCTGATCTGCAGTATGAGAGGAATGTCCCCCACCTCCCCCCTCATTCGTCTTCCTCCAGCTAATGCAACTAGAGGAAAAAGTTTTTTTGGAGCAGGGAAATCCCTCCTCCTCTCGTCTTCTCTTGTTGTGTGTTTATTAAAAGCGTAAATCCAATTATTATAAAGCAGATGTATAACAGACCAGCCCATGAATGTGACAAATACAAGACGGAACGATAGGTTGAGTTCAGGCACCAAGTAAAGCACATAAATACGGCCTGAATATGAAATAAAATTATTTGTTTTATGGTGAAGTTCCACTTTATGTTCAACACAAGCAGGCTGATTTAAGAAGCTAATTTATAACCTGTTCCAAAAAGCTCCTTTTAGGAATGAAACGTAGAGATCAGAAAATGAGTCCCTTTATACTTTTTCTTAGGTTACTGTGGCGGTTTTGTTGCCGATTTCTCAGTCATGAACTCAGAGAAAGTAAAAGTTCAAACACGAACTGAATGTAGAAAAAAAAGGAAAAATGACAAGAGCTTTTACGAGTTCGAGCACAGACTATGGGCTCTTCTGCTGCCTTCGCGCGCCGTCGGAAATGTAGGAATTTTGCAACAACAGTGCACTTGCCAACTGATTGATCTCTAGAACTACACTATTGTCAAAAGTACGTGGACACTGGGCAGTTAACCTGAAGCAAAGGGAATCTCAGTGTTTAAAGGCAGGACATATTGGTACCTGCAACATATATCCCATAATTTCTGAGGCAAAACATAAACAGGAAGTTGGAAGATTATCAGGGAGAATTTTATCAGCAGAGCTGGGAATTCTAGCACAACCTTACCCACTTTCAAGGTGTATAGAGGAGGGGAAAAGTCTGATGAGGTAAAAACAGCAGTATAAAAAACAATAAAGTTGCACATTATATTACAAGTGTTATTGGAGTTTTTATCTCTTTGGTCAGCAGAGCTGCCATATTGCTGTAGATACAATATTATATACAATTATTAAAGCAAAGTTAAAACCATTCATGTTGTTTGTGTGGTCTCCTCTCATTTCATTGTGTCAGAAATTCCAGTAACTGAGAAAGCATGTCAAACTTCAGAGCTCAGGAGCCCTTCAGCTTCAGCCAGCCAGCGATGTAGCCACTGTAGATACACAGGTTTTCCCATTTTTGTATCACCACAAAGTTAAATAAGGAGGATGGAGCAGTGCATGAAAACTGACTGCTGTCCGCCACGGGGAAAGAAGATGCTGTCATCAATTTACTCATGTTTGAGAACCCAGCTCACGCAACTACAGCCATTTGGTAACTAAGGTGAATGAACACTTGATACCCCGCACAAATGTTATAAATGACCAGGCATGTTTTCATTAGAGCTCACAGTGGCCCAGTAAGTCTGTGGAGGATTTTGTGAAAGGATTATATGAGTTGGCAGAACAGTGTGAGTTTGGGGATACAGAGGCATCACTGACCATGATGTTTCTGAAAAGTAGCAGATGGAAAGCAACCTGAGTCTAGATAGAGCCATCAATACTGCCTGCCAGTTTGAGCTAATCAAGTTACATACATAAGTTAAAGCAGTCTAGTCTTGCTGCCAAGAAAAGAGGCATAAAAAATTTGTTTTCCACATTGGATGCATCCTCCATATCCCTCTGGACCCTGAAAGTGTCAAGCTAACCACCTTCATCACTCACAGGTGTCACAATCTGCCTCTGCTCCTACCTGAGCTCTCTCTCACCCCACTGGCTGACCACACCTACCTCATCAGCGCCTTCAGCTCCACCTTGAGCTCTCAGCTGTATCTCATCACTCATCAAGTCAGTATATATGCAGCCCCGGTTCATTCACTCATTGCCAGATTGTTCGCTGTACTCATGCAAGACTTTCCATCTCCAGACTGACCTCCTGGTATCGACTCTGCTCGTCTCTGACCATCTTGCCTCGTATCTGCCCCAGTAAACACCTCCGCCTTCTGTCCCTGACCATGAGTTCTGCCTGTGCACTTCCTGGTTCCTGTCTGCCTGTCCCTGTGGCTGTTTGGCATTCTCCAGCTCCAACGTTGCAATGTGAGTATTTCCCTGCTGGTTTCCTGATCCTTTGTCTGGCTCTGATTACCCACCTGCCTGCTCCTTCCTGGTTCGTCTGCCCTGCTGACTGCTCACCTGGTTCCGATCCTCCTGCTCCCTCAACGACGTCTCCAGCCTGCATCCTAAGGTAGCTTTCACCATCAACAGGGTGGGTTGAGCAGGCACCCTTTATGTAGAGGCTACAGTCCCCGCTGCAGCAGGCCCTGGTTCGAATCCCGCATCGGACGGCCTTTTACTGCATGTCGTTCCCCCTCTCTCTGCCTCCCCATTTCCTGTCTCTCTCTACTATCCTGTCTAATAAAGGCACAAAAGCCCAAAAAATATACTTTAAAAAAAAAAAAAAAAAAAAAAAAAAAAAAAAAAAAAAGTAACATTTTATTGGATCAACTTTATATACACTGAACAACTCACAGAGAACAGTTCAGATGAAATGAAGAAGAAAGTATCTCCTCTGTGCTGTATTGCAAGAGGACAAGATGTCAAGTTTTGTGCTTCCAGTCAGGCCCCATGTGACAAGGTTTGCAGGGCTTGGAAGGACATTGTAGATGCTGTGAAGGAGGAAGTGCTGGCCTCATTAACCATGTCACCCTATGTGATCTTCCTTCCCTCTGCCCCTTCTCACTGCCTCCACTCACCCTGTTGTCCCATCCCTTTATTAACATACTAAAAAAAAAAAAATTAAGCCCATTCAATAGGCTAAACAGAGCAAATAGTCTAATAAATAAAAGGCTATATGTCTCAGAACATTAACCAAGAATAGGATTTCAAATCAGATATATGCTGCATTCAAATTGTAAGTATTTTATCGTGGCATGCATTGCAGATGGCGTAAATTGTATCCTCAGACATCAGTCCGTGTCAATCCCTCCTCCCGTCCTCTGTCCTCAGACATCAGTGTCAGTCCTTCCTTCTGTCATGTGTCCTGTCTCTCCTCCCTCTGCTGCTGATGTAACTGACTGCTGGTAGAAGTAAGTTTAGACACTGTTTTGACTTTGTGAACACAAGGGAATCCCTTCAAATTTGGCACAAACATTCCCTTGGAGTCAAACATATACAAAATGTACCAAACATGTTATGTATGAAAGCACCAATAAAGACAAACTAGCTGTAACAAGTTTGACCTCACTGGCTAATGACAGTGCCCTCTGCTGGTTGACCAGATGAAACAAGTTGACTGCGTTGCATTTCCCCTGTCCTGTTCATGTGGGTGTCCTACAAACTCAACTGCACAAATACACTTTGGAGGGAAATCTTACCAAGTTGGAGAAACTGCTGAAAAAGGGAATGCAACTAGTTACAGTAAATAGTACAACTATTGTTGTGTATCTATACTATAAAACATCTAGTTTGGTAACATGCAAATAAAGATTAATTCCATACTCTTCTCTAAAAGAGTTCTGCTATTGCAGCATAGCCAACTGTAGCATTAACAGCTGTTCACTTACCAGTCTCACTAAGAGCTTGAGGAAATGTTACAAGAGGTTATAATATGTCCTCTGAGCAGGTACTTCCTCAGGGCAGACTGGACGCTACAGTGAGCTGTTATCGAAAAGTGACCAACCGGGCTGGGGGCGAGCTGGTTATTATGTTAACTTAAGTAGAAGAAAAGAAGTGATAGAAACAGAAGCAAAACAAAAGGGTTGCTTTCCACCACTGGAGACAGCTCTTGGTGAGTAGGAATGAAGTGTGATAATGGACTCGCAATGTTTCTTTTAGACTGGTAAGTAAACTGCTGTTAATGCTGATGTTGACTATGAAGCAATACCAAAACATACAAATAGCTCCTTTAAGTCAAAGGAACACTTGCACTTCAAAATGAAGAACAATAACAAAAACATGGTCTCAGTGTTTTCTGATGTGTTTCAGGTGTTGATGTGAATTGTGTGACTCACCTGGGTCAGAGTCCACTGTTCTGTGCTGCTCTCTTGGGCCAAGTGAAGGTGACGGAGCTGCTTTTTCATTATGGAGCTGACCCTGACCAGTAAGTCTCTGCCTGGCACTCACTGCAAAGATACTTAGTTTGCCCATTGTCAAAAGGCTTGCTTCTAGAGTCTTGTTCATATTGATGGAATGATTTTGTATTAAAAGCAACTTCGTTACTAAGAACCAGTGTATCCTAGAGATGTCGACATCTGCACATTTGAACATTAAAACATTCTGATAACTAGAGTTTTTCTCTCTCTCAGGTTTAAATGAAAAACTTCTCCCGTAGCAAATTATAACAGCTGTATCTCATGTTAATGGTGTAAGTTATTTGTCAATAGACCAGAATTAAACATTTGGTTGTTGTCTCATTAATGTCAAATCATTTAGATTTAGAGCAAGTAGCTCATGCATGAAAAATAGTAGGATACTGTTATTTCAGTGTGTCAGGTACATATTTAATCAATGCACCATATCTGCTGCTCATCCCATTATTAAGGTGGCCCTGAAGTGCAAAACACAACAGCAAATCAGAAAACACAACAGTAAATCAGAAAACATAACAGCATTAGAGAGATTCAAACCGGAAAAGTTAGGTACATTTTTTATTTTTTTTTTTTAAGAGGTAGGTAGGAAGTTAGGAGCTGGAACAAAACTATTAATAATGTATTGCCCTCACTGCGGCAAGAAATTATTTACAGAGCTACGGCCAAGTTTTTGCAGCGGCTGTGGCAAGGGGCTTCCAGGGATTGTATATGATGAATGTGAAGCCATGGATGAACCTCAACCTGACGTTAAGCCTACGAATGCACCATCTTCAGGTAACGTTAACATTATGTTGCTAACGATACTTAACAAATGACATTATTTATATATTCAACTATGCTGTCTTCAAAGCTCAGTGACGTGTGATGCATTTTTTGTACAGTTCTGTTTTTGTTACTGTCTACTAGCAGGCTAATTAAACAGGGCTCTAATGTTAACGTTAACGTTACACTAAACCCCGCCTTGAACGGTAAAAAAAAGTGATAAGGGTAACGTTAGTTTGTCAGTAACGTTAGATAATCAACTCCAAAAATCTCCTGCAAAATGACACTGTGGTCAAAACAATGTTATGTCTTCTCAAAATGGTATTTTGTGTTTAAATGACACACACACCCCATCATATGAATAAACATTTCTAAGAACCAGTTGAACACTGTTGAGCAAAATGTAAAACACTAGTATGAATGAATGCCAGCGTGTTCCATGTGAACACAAGAGATGTTATTTATGAAGATTGTGCCAAATGTAGAGAATTATGTCCAGTGTTTGGGAAAAAAAGAGTGGTTTAGAACAGCAATCAGAATGTAAAGCAGGAGATGTGCTTGTATTTCAGCAGTATTGGTTCAGGGGGTTGGTACATGAGTTACAGGTTGTGGTCATTGTGTCTCAAGTACCAATGTTAGTGTGTAAACAATTGAGAAAAACTGTAATTAGCCAGGTAATGTAGGTCATGCTATTCACAACAAGTCATTTTCGTTTGTCTTCCAGCATTGTTACCAAACAAATGCAGATCCACCAATGCTTGTGGATCCACAAACCCATCTCTGTGTACTTTTTTGCAATATCGCAAGAAAAAGGCAGAACTTCTCATTTGGGAGAATGGGTAAAAAATAAATAAATAAATAAATAAATAAAAAAGAATGCACAGGTTAGTTGCTTGTTCTGGTTCAGAGCCTGTAGACACATATTTGCCTTCAGATCTAACATTATCTTGGATCCAAATGTTGTCAGTAAAGAGGTAATTTTAGCACAACTTATGCTGAAGTTATATGGATTTGCTTCATGTTTATTGTGGGAAAACAATTGCTCAAGTGATACCCTTGACCAAGCACCCAGCAAATGCTAATGAATTGGTTTGTAATTGCTGATAATACCAGATGACAATGAATTTCCCAATTTGTGTCTGTTTTCTTTTGCAGATAAATATTGGGTTGATGGCTTTACAATTAAAACCAATACGTGGAAAAACCCTTCCACTGAACACAGACCCTGACACGAATGCCGAAACTCTCCATCAACTTGCTGAGAAGAAGATGAGGGACTTTAATAAGGATCTAAAAGACGAAGGACCCTTCATCCCCCTGTACCCTGCTGCCTCTGAAATAATCAATGTCCCTGGGACAGACAATCCTTTTGTGCTTAAGGAATACAAGGCAGAAGTAGGGAAACCATATCAGAGGATCACATTTTTTCTCTGCACAAAAAAACTGAGTTTGATCTTGCTGACACACTGTTGAGTGTGATGTTATGTTAACACATTTGAGAGTATTAAGCAATTGTTAACTTATAGCAACAATACAGTCTGTTTTAATGTAAATGGTTATTTTGTGATTTTACTGCAGCCATTTGAACCTCAGCATGAGAGCAGCCCCATAACGCAAACAGAGACACTGTAAGCAAGTTTATATCTAAACATATACATTCTGTTAGTTCTTCATGTGGATAGTTGCATCAGGTCCACCATTGACAGTCTTACTCATTTAAGGGTACACTATACAAAATGTGACTATAGAACACATATACTGGACTCCTTCAGCTTTCTGTGTTGTACCTTGTTTTTTCCCACACCTAAATATAAAACGTATTCCCTATCTCAGGAATTCCATTGGCCGACTGTCACCAAGGAGTGACGTACCAGAGGTAATAATACATTAGTATATATTACTTGTGGTGTTTTTGTATCTTTTGTAGTTTCATATATTACTTTTTTATTACATTGTACTTTTTCCGTGTCCATAAGAGTTGAATCCGTTTTTTCTTCTTTTGAGATTCTCATTGTTTCTTGGCATTAGAGATTGAAGCGGTTGAAATGTGTCTTTTCATTTCATGTCACATATTTGGTAAGACAAACACCAAGTGAACAAATGTACCACATACTTTGACCCATTAAATATATTTTTATTTTCTCTACATATTTCAGATCATACTATCTGATACTGAGGACACTATTCAAAGTACCGCAGGATGTTCTACCACCAGGAGCGGTTATTATGGGTGTGTGTGTGTGTGTCTTTTTTTCTTGTGTAAGAAAGTGTACGGGGGGATATAAATTAATGTTGTGTTCATTTCGCAGGAAGTACACAGACCTGTATGCACCCGTTGTCATTGATGATAATGACGATGATGATGATGAGATTTCAAATGAAAGACATGCGTCTCCAGAGGAACCTGAGTAAGTCACTAAATTTTTATTATTACAACTGTATTAACCAGTAGTCTCTGCACTTGGTAGTTGTTGACGCCCACAGAGCTGCAGTTCTGGTCACCATATCCTGGTCAAACTATGGATTGCAAAGTCTTTTTGCCTAACTGTGCTCTGTCCTCACATATCTGTCCTCTCAGGAGTTTCCTTTTTTCAGTGGCAGCGTGCAATCTGACACTGTGGGAGTTAACGATTACAAGGCATAGCGAGTAGTGGCTATCTCAGTATGCATGGTACTATGATATATTCATATTGTATGCATTAGTGTTCAAACTGCTAGCTACTAAAATATGCTTGTACCAGGTCCTATACATCTGAAGTATTTCTTTACCTAATTTCCACTTTTTTGAAGGCATACAAGTGTATTGGCTCAAGAAATCATTGCAGATTTGACACTTGCTCTTGAACACAAAAAAGTCAGCAGGTTCAATGTAGCTAGGTCAAACATATGGGACGAAGCTGTCAGAGGATTTAAGCGTGGCTCTTACTCTGAAAACAATGACATGCTTGTGAAGTTCACCGACGATGCTGGCTCTTTTGAAGAGGGTTTGGATACAGGTGGCCCAAGGTGTGAATTCCTCACCCTTCTAATGAGTCATCTCAAAGATCGCCCCATTTTTGATGGACCTTCAGAAAGCTGCTACCTTGTGTATAATTCCAATGGTATTTTTTTTAGGTAGTTTATTTGTGTGTGTAAGGGAAAATTTGCCCATTTTCAACCTTACCTCTATCTATCCCGGTTAGGAATATAGTGTAAAGAACGCCTGCAGTTGTTGCTGATCTGGTCCGTGTCTCTGGGGTGCAGCTCGGCACCTGTTGTACTTCCTGCATTCAGTGATATCAAAAGACGCATTTAACACGGACAAGATCGGCAACAGCTGCAGGCGTTTTTCACACTATATCCCTAACTGGGATAGATAAAGGTAAGGTTGAAAATCAGCAAATTTCCCCTTCAAGCAACTTTTAATGAATTATTATTTAATTTAACCTTGAAAACATTTTTTGTAAAGTTTGCAAATCCTTGCTATTTCATTTTCCTGTATATTTAAAAATAATATGATGATTAATTGTATGTGCTTCCTCTATACTCTGCATAACAGCTGCCAGGGAAGATGAGTATTTCTTGGCAGGGAAGATGATTGCAGTGAGTATAAAACATGGAGGACCAGCCCCACATTTCCTCGACAAGAACCTGGTGAACCACATTTTAGGCCAGCCTGGCTTCAAAGCCACTGTAGCAGATGTAGCAGATGAGGAGATAGGAAAGGTTCTGCGTAAGGTAGGAAGAGAGTCCTGAAATTTGAACTTTACAGTTTTTCTCGATTGCTAAGACACATTTCTCGAAAGCAGCTCTCCTTTTCTCTAAACTGTGAACACAAAACCCAATTTTCAAGCTACATTCACAAAACCTCAGACTCTTCTTGCAAAACCAAACTTTCACCTCAAAACAGTTTAATCTGTGCTCAAAACTGAACTATGTTGTCAAATCGTGCCCCGAGTCTATCAAAATTAAAAACACTACTGAGCAGTCACTAAACACTACATAGAAAAATAGAAAACACAATACTCAGGACATGAAGCTCTCGAAATAAATGTTTATTGTTCACTGTAGGCTAAATGCATGTTGCAAAACAAAAAACCTGTGCATTAGCACTTGTACATAGTAAAAATATAAAAGTACAATAAACAGAAATCTTGCGCATTTACACGTAGCACTTGTACAGTACAAAAACAAACAGAAATCTTATGCATTTAGCACTTTTATACAGTAAGCCTACATAAAAATAAAGTACAAAAGTATACAAATGAGAAGTGCATTACTCAGCCACAGCATCATTTCTCTGTACTGGGTCAGGCCGCAGGACTTCATCCACATCACAGGCCACATTTTGTCTGGCCAGGCAACAGGGGAAAAAAACCCTGGCATGCCATATCCAGGCTTGGCATGCCTCCACACCTATGTCACCACAGGCCAGTTCCATGGCTTGCAGGAGATTTACCCTGGTGTAAGGTTTGCGTTCATATACCTTCCACCGCCATGAGGAGAATTCTTCTTCAATGGGGTTCAGGAAAGGGGAGTACGGTGGAAGGCAAAGATTGATGAAACCTTGGTTCATATTGAACCACTCTCTAACCCGGAGGGCTCTGTGAAAACTCACATTGTCCCAAACAACAACATAGATGGGATACTCATCCTGCTGCCCTAACAGAGCATCTCGCATGTGATTGAGGTAAATGAGGAGCTGGTGAGTGTTGTAGGGCCCAAGGTTGGCATGATGGTGGACAACCCCATGATTGCTGATGGCAGCACACAATGTGACATTGCCACCACGCTGCCCAGGGATACCAACAATGGCCCGTTGGCCAATCACGCTACGGCCTCTCCTTCTCCTTTTGGTGAGATTAAACCCTGCTTCATCATGTAGATGTATTCATGGGGTTCTTTCCATTGCATCCAGTTGAAAAACTCTGTAGAAATAGATATAGTTTTGTAAGTGATACAGAAAAAGTGATTTAGGCCACTACAGTAAATCACTACTTACAGTAATCAACATTGAATGTGTCTGGATATATACCAACCTGTACATACTGGAATCTTTGCTCTTTGACTCTGTCTGAGTTGTGTTCAAAGGGCACTCTGTACAGTTGCTTCATGCGTAGTCTGTTGCGCTTGAGGACATGATCAACAGTAGAGAGGCTGACACTGTTGATACCCTCAAAATTTACATGGTCCTCAATGATCTTCTGCTGAATTTCATGCAGTTTAATGGCGTTGTTCTCACGGACCATATCGACAATTAGGGTCTCTTGGTGTGGGGAGAACATAGCTGTCCTCCCACCCCCATGTGGCAGTCTTTCAATTCTACAAAAAGAGAACATGCAGTTACAAAAATATACGAATACAAGGCCTACAAGACTAACCCTCCATTACAATACTACAGTACATCGGCACAGTGGTGTACTGAAACATATATTTACTTACAGTATACTGTGGTACAGTATACATATAGTCATACAGTAATTGCTGTCAACATTTACATACTATAATGTCAAAAAAGGTAATTACCTGTTCTCTTCTCTAAATCTTCGGATTATGGTGGACACAGTGAATCTACTGATCTACTGATGTTTTATGTATTTTTCTGACGCCCAAGCTGCCGGAATATTATAATTTTTTTAAAGTTTTTTTTTTTTTTTTTTTTTTTAACAGTGTAATTATGACAAAATAAACTTAGTACCTACTAAAGTTTTCACTACATATATGAGACTGGACAAACGTAGATGTAGACCTGATGACTGCCAAGGCACGCAACTGAGGCACGCAACCGTGAGGCAGTAATTCTAGTTTTCATGTTTATATGGGTGAAGAATAACATTTTGCTACTCAAAACTGCAGTACGTCTGCCCTCTCGGCCAGAAAAAGAGATAGATCTCAATTAAATCTTTGTTTTATTTTTTATTTTAACTGTTGCAGATGTTGAAAGCTGCAGAAAAATGCATTCAATAAGAGCTTAAAATTATATTTCAGCATACATACCTGACCTGGCATCAGTCACAAGCCATTAAAGAAGTTCATTGTAAGGACATGCAGAGTTATGGACCCAGTCAAAGAACTGCTGTGTAATCCACATTTATAGACTATTAGCTTTAGGAAATGTTTATATTGTTGTTTGATCAGTTAACCACTTGTATTATGATTAATTCCAGGTTTGAAGGATGTAATATGAAATCAATGCTCCAGTCTGTCATTATTAGTGCCATTAGGTTTATATGTTATTTCATCCAATGTTTTATGGTCATGGTGGAAGACGGATGTGCGAGTTAATAGGTAAACTGTAGAATTAATGTAGTAAAATTACTCTCTTCTCCAAGTTGAAACACAGGAGAGGACGGGTGGTGCCCCTGAAACGTGCGCCAGCCCAGGAGATAAAACAGTTGTGATCAATTCACACTTTGCTCAAAGCCTGGTTCAATGGCTTTTTTGTAGCTCTGTAGCTATGTAGTTCCAAACTCTTAGCCACGGCTCTTAGCCATTTTTGCACTTTATAATTTTGTCCGCATCCTTCTTTCTTTGCCATGTGCTCCAAGTAGCATTCTTTTTGTCTACATGCACAATCTTTTAATTTTATTAGCCAAGTCAAGACCAAAAGGGCATCAGAGTAATTTTTGTAACTTTTAATTATTATCAAGTTTCCTTTTTGAAGATTTTTGACAGTTTGGAGTCATCTGGTCAACGCCAGTCTCCTCTAGAGTTATCCAGCCAAAGTGAAGTGCGTTAGAGTTTATTTCGCATCAACCTGCAAGAGACGCCGGCAGATAACACATCTGCCAATGACCGCCGCAGAGAAGCCTACCAGAAATCAAGAGTGCCCGAGACAAAAAGTCTCCTGGCAAACTCCACCAGAGCTGAATCGCTGAGACACCGGCAGAATCTGTCACCATGATAATGGGATACGGCCTCCAGGAGAATCCACCTAGATCCCGCGTCTCCGGGGTTACCACAGCAACCACAGCCACCTGGGTTCCAGCCAAGGGTCTCCAGCTACAGCGCAACTCACAGTAGGCCGGTCTTAACACTCTGCTCATGACTGGGTTGATGTCGAAATATAGTAATATTTAATCATCATCTCATTTGTAGAAGTAGTATCATTAGCTGTATAGCCATAGTGTATAGCTATAACATATTCTCTCCCACCATTGCCAACTCATTACACTGCTCATTTGCAACAATCAAGAAGTGTATTGTCATACCCTCATTCTGTAAATCTTGATTACGGCATCCTCCATAATCTGCCCGAGGTTCAGCTTGTCGACTCATTCATTCTCAATGCAAAATTGAACCAATTCATTCATCCTCAGTGTTTTACTGCACTCCTCCAAGTTTTGGAACAGTCAGAGAGCGTGAGCATTTTGCAGTCACAACAGGGACTGTCAAAAACAGCAGAAAGATTGTGTGCACAACTGCAGACACACAGGCAGGCTGGATTGACAGGTGTAAGGGAAGCAGGGAATAGGAGACAGGTCAGCAGATGGATATGACAATCAGATGACTAGGATAGGGAAGAAAGTCTGAGGACATCTGGTGCACGGATGGAGAGTGACAGGAGACAAAGCCCAAAGGTGAATTGTGAAATGAAAACATTAGTTATAATTACACAACACTATAGTTACCCTGAGAATCCAGGGACTCTTTGACAGACAACACACTGTTTTTCTTTTTTTTCTTTTAAAATATACCAACTGTTTCTTTTGAAGCACTCTCAGGCTGTATCCATAATTACTCCCTATTTACTATGTGGTGCACTATCTTTACTCTCAGCAATTTTATCTGAGTCTCTGATTTTTGAGTGGAGAAATGTATCCCCCAAATCATGATGCTGCATGTTCTTCAAACAGTTCAACCTTAGTTTCATCAGTCCATTAAACATATTCCCAGTAGTGTTGTAGAGAGTCAAACTTCAGGTGCAGGGATGTTTCTTTGGATAGCAGCAGCTTCCCGAAGAACAATCATCACTGCAGCGCTCCACTGATGGGGCTTATGGCTCTGTCCAGACGAAGCCTCTCTGTACTTTGTAAAAAAGCAGCTAAAGGACTCTGAGACTGTGAGAAACAAGATTTGCTGGTGTGATCAAACCAAGGCTGTACTGTTTGGTCTCAGTTCTAAGAGTCATGTCTGGAGCAAACCAGGCATGATGATTAGAACTCCATTTGCTCTGCACTGTCAGCTGTGAGACCTTTTTATAAACAGGTGTGTGTCTTTCCACATCAACGGAATCTACCACAGGTAGACTCCAGTCAAGGTGTCAAAGCATCTCAAAGATGCAAAGTACATTGCAAAGTAGCAAAGTGTCTGAATACTTATGTCAATGTAATATTTAAGTTTTTTCTTTTTAAATTTGCTAAATTTTCTAAAATTCTGTTTTCACTTTGTCATTATGGGATATTGAATGTAGATAAAAGCAGACTCACTGACTAATGTTCCTGCTGGGTTGAGAGTATTACAGTATAGTTATATATTATGGTATTAATGTTAATAATTAGTCATTAGTATTACATTTGAAGCATTTTTTTTGCTCATTTGATCCAAGTATTTACAGTAGTTTGCGCTTGTAGATCAAATCAGTAGAAACATTCTTGGCACAACTGTTGCCTCATGAATGAACCTCCAGCTGATTGTTCCTGTTCAGTGTCAGGCCTCAATCAGCTCAATCCACTTGAGCAGATGAACATGAAATTGCAGGATTATTTAAACTGCCTGTAGCTGAGTTGTGGTAATTTCCATATGGTCTGTGTGTGTTCTCCCTTTCAGAGCCCACTCAAAACTAGACAATGTGCTGCAGGGTCTTGTAGTAGATGGCACCAAAAAGAGTCCAGGAACCAGTAAAGAAGCCACCACAGTGTGAGTATCAAGTACAGACGAGTGCAGAGTTAAAGGGTAAATTCATTACTCGATTTTATTGTTTATTTTTGAGGGGCCAACCAAAGGAGTAACTTCACTCACTCACTCACATGTAAGGATGTAGTGAATGATATACTAAGAGTACATCCCATGTGTAGGTTTCAGCTGTTTGAAGGACAGACTTGTGATGAATGACACGCAGTCAGCTCCAGTGATGACTGGTCCACCACCTAAATGTCTCAACTGGTAAGTTTAGTAAGACTCCTATTTGAATAAAAATAAATTATTTTTCTAAAAATTAAATTATAAATAATTATAGCCACAAGCATCAATTCCCACTCCAATACCATGTTCCTGCAGTGCAGTTTCAGGACTGCAATTTCTAAGACCCCAGTTTCTCGTGCCAGTGCCACCTCGCGATTAGGAGGCTGCAGTTTCAGGACCATATTTAACTGCCATAAGGGTTTATTCCACCAAAATACTGCTTTTTGTCAAAGGATCCATTACACATCTGGGTTTTATGGTTATATTGTTGTTTGTGGCTCCAGCAGAGATTTTAGAAGGGCGGAAGTAATAAAAGTGAAACATAGAGGTAAAGGTCTCGAGGTTATAGTTAACTAACTATAACCAAATTACCAAATCAACAGTAAGTTAAAGTTGAAGGATTGGAATTCTACAAAGTAGAGGTTGGCAATATTCACGCTTGTGCAACATTAAACACACCAGTAGTTATACTTAAAGGCATTTATTTACAATGGAGCAGAGTAAAACACAATGTCTAATCTAGTATATACAGGTGTGTGTATGTGTGTGTGTAGGGGTATGTTTGTCTAACTGTGGGGACACAAACAAAGGCAAGATGGCCGGTTCAAAGTTGTCACTGTGACCACATGACCTGAACAAAGAAGACTACACAAGATGGCGGTAAAAACCAGTCCTTGGAACAAACAAAGAGGTCCTTTCCAGTGTTGTTGTAAAGTCCAGTGAGTTGGGAGGCTTCCTGGTGGAGTAAAGTCCTGTCTGGCTGTGTTGCTTTGCTGTTATTAGTGCCACGGGTGCTCAGCTCCGAGGCATCTATTAATATTCCTCCGGGCTTATTATTATTCTTCCGGTTTTCTCATAATTTGCAATTGTTTTAAGCCATGTAGAAGCCAAATTCTGGGCAGATTTTCACATTGCCATGGCAACGGCAGCTCCTGACCTGTGTGCGTGTGTGCGTGCCTAGCAACCAGATAACCAACTCTCCAAGCTCCGCTAGCTTTACATTAGCCGCATGTTAGGTCTTAAATTATATTTAGTTAGGTCTTAAATATGTAAGTCCATTTACTGCTTCCTTCGTTGCTTTTCTTTTTGTTTTGTTAAGTGAGTGAATGAAGTTGTGACGGTCTCCGCTGAGACAGAGGAGAGGAGAAGCTACTAGCCCTCTCTCGCTGTCACTTCTAGTCGCGTTGCTCTCCTCCCCAGTAATTTTAAATTTAGCACCGAAAAAAAAACATAATAGTGGTAATTTAAATAGCGGTTCATGGGATTTATTAACCCTCAGGGGTCCCTCTGTCCTTTTTTGGACATTTTCTTCACTTTTCTTTTTTGATTTGCTGATCATTTTGGCTGTGTTACAGCTGAAGGTATGGATTTCTGCAAGAAAGTGTCTTTTTTGACATATTTTTAAAATCTAATGTCAGTTACTGTTACAGGTCTATTATACACTGGTAACACATTTTGTACCCTCTGGGGTTCCTCGCGTCCAAAAAAGGACACACAAAGAAAATGCTATAAAATCATCATATATCAATATTTTTTTCTGCTTTTTTTTAATATATATATTATGATATAGATATTTCCCACATAATACATGATGGAGGGATGTGACATTGTTTTATATCAGAGTCTTTTATATCAAGACATTTCTCAAAACCAGAATATGATCAGGGTGACTTTTGAACACTGGAAATAAATCATGTACTCATCCCGGCAGTAGCCCCCGTGGCACTCAAAATTTCCCTGAAATTTTCTAGTTTCCTTTGTTCTCCTAACAGAGTTAGCTGTTCCACGCTAACTCTGCTATGACTCCTGTTGCTTGGAAAATCAGCTGGCCTTGTGTCATAGCTGCTGATTTTGAAGAGAACTTGGTTCACTCTGAGTTAATCCGAAGCAGGTCGCTGCTGTTGAGGAGAGGAACGTTTGCAGGCTGCTGTGAGCAGGCCGGCGAGAGAGCTGGTTTCTCAGGTAGCAGAGCTGACCTGGGCTGGGGCCTTGTTGCCCTTTGAGGAGCCGAGAGGAGAGAGCAGGAGCTGCTCTCCAGAGCAAGCCGAGAAGAGAAGAGAGAGAGAAGAGGGACAAGAGATCTGGTTTTGTTTGGTGACACCCTTGGGGGTCACATGTCACATGGTGACCCACACTGGCTGGCCAGTGAGGTCCATGGGGGGGAAGGGTCGTCCCCAGGTGTGAACAGTGGGCAACTGTGGGGTTTGAGTTCCTTTGTCCAGTGGAGCAAAGAAACATCTGGTCTCTTGAATGATAAGTCCCAACACAGAGAACGTTAGAAGAGACACAATATCTTTCTTATTGTGTCTCTCACAGCCTCTGTCTGGGTAACAAACTGCTGCTGCTCAACTTCAACAGCAACGACAAATGGAGAAACTCCAATTTAGTCACATGGTTGAAATATGATCAGTCAGTCAGTTGGGGACATTTGTGATTATAGGGCTGGCTCTGCTGTTGTGGTCCAGTCAAAGATGAAGACTTAATTATGGATTTTGGACACAGAGAAAACATCACAGAGAACATCAGACAGTAAATCAGACGCGATGAGAGTGTTGAAAGCTTGTACAGACCCCTGGGTAAAGAGTTCACCGTCTTACAGAGTTCTTACAGGTTTCAGACCTTTTATTTGCTGCCTCAGCCCATCAATGAAAGACACAAACTGAACACTATCAGTAAATTCGAAGATCAATGGAGTAAAAGGATCTCAATTCTTTTTGAGTTACACAGAATAATTAACTAATAACTGTATCAGAACATTGTTTCTGCTTTTACCATAATTACCACCAAATTACAGAGTAGGAAATAATGACAGGCCTGTAACATGTTAAACTAAAACGCAGCTGAAACCCTGGATTTGTATGATACACACAGAAAACAATAAGTTCTACACATTGTGTACTAGCTGCCAACAGTGTGTGTGTTCTTTTATGGAAACAGGACACTAGGACTAAACAGCATACACCAAGAAGACTAAATGACTGATGTGTTTACAGGACACAGAGTCTGTAGCCATGCCAGTGGTTCTGTACATGGTGCTTCAATCATGTCCACATGTGTTAAAAATACCAACATGCTGATGTAAAGCAGGTAACATGTTTGCCATGGTTACTGTCTTAGCTTAGCATGTTAGCATGTACATCTGAGGCTGATGGGAATGATCATTAACCAAAAATTTACAAATAAGATGTCGACTAGATGATGGAGCTGGATGAAAGTCAGCGGATCAAAGTTGTTACATTTCATCCTGGGGAAAATGAGTGTCTGTATAAAGGCTTCATGGAGATCCATCCTATAGTTGAGATATTTCAGGTGAGACTGAAGTGGTGACTGACCAACAGAAAGATCAGCCAAGAGAGTGACATGCCATCTCTACAGTATTCAGAGCAAAGGAGTAGATGTGAAGGGACTCACTCACTCAGTGGCTGCCGTTGGCCAAAGCTGCTGCATCAGGAGGCACCTGAAGGAAATCATTTACTAATTTAATTCAACAGCAGCAGAAATAATCAACCACACCCTGCAATCACCATTATGATACCGGACTAGTATAAATTCAACTTATGTTCACTCATAAAAGTAAGAACACTTCATTCAAAATTCACACTGACATTTGTTATAACACTAACAACTAAAATCTAGCCTTGGGGCAGAGCCATTCACAACACTCTATTGTGTGGCTCAATTCATTTGTTTAAATCAGGGCAGCAGATTCTTTTGAAAAACAAATAATATTAACTAATATTGTTGTTTATCCCATATTTCTGCCTTTAACGAACCTCATCTCCCATAAACTCTTGGCCCTTACAGGCTCCTGTGCAATGCAGGAGTCTCTGTGGTTTAGTGTCACTCCTCCTGATGACATCTCACTGGTCTCTGACCTTGTGCCTTGCTGTTCTGTCAGAGCTGTGAAGTCTGCTGTTGTGTTAAACTACAATTCAGGCAAAGCAAAGGCCGGTTTCTAACACATTATGAGCTCACCACCAGCAAAGCATCAGACGGCTTTTGTTGTGTATCAGCCAAGGAGGTGCTGAGTGTCACAAAGGTTACAGGTAAACACAAATAGTCCTAGAGCTAAGGTCCTACCTCTCTTGTGGTCTGACTGTCGGCTGAAGCCAGGAGATCTGCTGACTGTTGCTCTGACTCCGTCAGCGGCTGAACCTGCAGCATGTTAACGAGGACACAGTCACAGTTTATAATCAGGGATGCAGTTTATTTGTGCATTATGAAATGCCATTGCTTCTTGTTTTCTGTTACATCACATTTTTATTTATTATGCAAATTTTGTAGCTATTTACAGCGACAGAATCTGTAACATTGCCAGCTCTATCTGTTAAAGTCAAAAGCCATTAGGCCGGTTTGCACCTGTTTGACTAAAATTGCAACACAAGACCTTTACTTCTTGGGATAACTTTGACACATTTCCCAAATCAAAACAAACACCACATTTGTGTCCTTTGCAGGAGCTTGCGAAAGGATTTGCAAGTTTATCAGCTGTGTGACCAACACCTTTTTGTGAAACATGCATCTGCTACCATTTATGATTAGCTGTGAAAACAGTGTTGGGTTAAAACGTTAAAATGATATACAGAAACCAGAAAATTCCTGAAGAAATTTTGAATGTGCCTGATGCTTGGTGCATGTACTTCACTCCTCAGGTATCAATCTGTACAAAGGACGTTACTTTCAGTTTCATTCATGTTGTAGAGACTTATCCTGACACTGACCTCAGTCACGGCAGTTGTCCCTCAAAAAGCCTTTTGAAGCTGTCACGACTGACCAAAATGACCTCGCACTGATGGTTTCAAATCCAAATTTGTCCCCACAACCATAGCAAGACATGTATACACACATGTACATGCCCTAACAGAAGTTGATCTGCAATAACCCAACATCTACCACAAAGTCTACAAAGAGAAGACAACCCGCAGGCCCTCTGAGAGGTGGGGTGAAAAATAGGCCTAATCGGAAGGACCACATGGAAACGATAGGAACAAACACGGACAACGAGAAGAGCTTGCGCATTTGTGGGTACAGATGGCAAAAGGTGACCATGTTCAGGGGTTTAAGAATCCACCAGGGAAGAGCAAGGTGTGGAGGGAACTGCCAGCAGCAACCTTGCACTACAGCAGCAGATAAGAAAAGAGGGACCAAAGGTCAGGTCGAAAACCACAGTGCTTGCATTGCTGAGGGAAGGCAGGCAGCGGAGGAGAAGGGTCCTTCAGTGGAAAGTGACCCGCCGAGTGAGCACCAAGGAGACGCACCCACCTGTCCAGAAAGACCAGAGCCAGGAAATTCAGTGAAGAAAGAACCAGCTAAGAGGGACAAAATCAAGTGGCCAAAAGCCAGCGAGGCATCATCATGGCAGAAACTAGACGCAGACCTCAGCAAGATTTGGGAGAGGTCACTGCGAGGGGTTGTGGAGGCAAAGCTTAACCTGCTGGTCTCTTTGGAAAGAACACCCTACAGCTGCCGCTGCAATCAATAAGCATGGGCTACAAGCAGGAGAAGTCCAGGCTAGTGATGGAGATGAGGGAAGTGTGGGAATGAGAAGTGCAGATGTCCAGATCCGCACTGGCCACGAATGGAAAGCCCATGCTGTGGTTGACCTGGCAATCTGCAAGCTGCAGCACAAGGAGATCACAGGCAGAGTCCAGATGGGAAGGGCTGGTCTTGGGTGGGGAGAAGCCCCGCAGTTCTGGTTCAAAGACAACAGAAGAGAGAGGAAGGAACTGGTGGTGTCTGAGGTGACAAGGATGGAGAACGAGCGCTTTAAGATCAAGGCCATAGCACAGGGACATCAGGGCGGCTGGACAAGGTGGGAAGGCGTTGTTGGCAGAAACATCAGCATGGTGGACCTGTGGAAGATCCCCCCACAGTCGAAGCTCAGCTTCCTCATTAGGGCAACGTATGACACACTCCCCTGCCCACTGAACTTGCACCTGTGGTTTGGCCAGGAAGAGTGCTGCCCCCTCTGCAACAGCCTAAATGCAAGCTTCCACCACATCCTATCATGCTGCAAGAGGTGTTGGAGAGACGCAGGCTGGAAATGAGCAGAGGTCATCCCCCACCAGCAGACCATCACATCCAGTTTGTCAGAGAAGGTGGGAGCAACACAAAGACAACACCAAGAGCTCCACCAAGGTCAGTTCTTGCCAAACAGGACTGCAGCATGAGAGTTGATCTCGGCAGGAAGTCTCAGTTCCCCAGAGAGATCACCACCACAAGCCTCCGCCCTGGCATAGTGATGTGTCAATGAAGGTTGGAAATTGTGGGATATAAAAAGAGTTTGTCTGACTTTATTTGAGGGAAATATTCAGGGATGGCAGTCAGAGTTCGCAGGTAGCTAAAGTTAGTGATTGGAGCTGTGCCTGAAGTAAGACAGCAGACATTGCTGAAGATGTAATGAACATCACAATCCTTTACACTGTAGTTACAACAACACCACACCGAGCAAGCGAGAGAGAGGGAGAGAAGCTAGTGCTTACTGCTAAGCTAAAGTAACTAGCTGATCGGAACAGCATGTAAACAACTTCTGAGTTTGTGAAAGTCACTAAAAGGAGCAGCGTGTGCAAGTTTAAATGTACAGCAGGTAGTTAGACACTGTGATGAAGAAAACAGCAACATTAACTGTGTTCAGACAGAGCAGCAATAAACTCTACCAGTAACAGAAATGGGACACCACACTGACATCAGCACATCAACATGTGAACGGTGTCACTACAATTAGTGAAAAGACATCAGTAGAAATAAATCAGTGTAAAAATGTCCTCAGTAAAAAAAGTGAGTCAGTTAAAGGTGTTACTGCATTACATTTGATAATTTGACAATGATATTTATATTATTATTTATTTATATTAAAACTATAAAATTAAAGAACATCTTTAGGTTACCAGATATATCAGTTCTCAGGGGAGAACAGCAACAAAATCAACCAATTAATTGCAGTTAGGCACTTTGGAGCCTCAGCATACGCCTGATAATTATTAATATACTCAGTTGGCGATTTATTATTAAAATAGGTTTAGATAGTTTTTGATTCAATTGATCACTGTGGAGGATGTAGTGTTTATTACATTATACATCAATATTATAATGTTTGTGTCTGTGTATCTATCTGCCTGTCTGTGTCTGTCTGCCTTTCTTTCTGTCCATGTACCTCCCTGCTTCTCTGTATTTATGTGTTTCTGTGTCAGTTAAAATGACAAACTGAAATTAACTGGCGATTGCTTCCTGATTACAACTAGACTGAAACATATTTCCAGTTAAACCAGTTGAGATGTTTGTAAATCACTGCATAAATGTCAGTAAAGTGGTTGATAAACACAACAGTTTGCCATGGTGACAATGCTGTCTCACTGGGTGCCCACATGTCGTTCGCTTTGAAAAAGGTAGCACCTGGAAAACACTGGTTAAAGGTAATCCACCAATCACAAATCACAATCCACTCTAGCCTCGAACAATCCGTGCAATACACACCCATTATAAACTCAAAAGTCTTGTAAACATTTTTCAAGTTTGAATGAAGTCTGTAGCTGAAAGTATGCTGAAGTAGTTGAAGATCAAAGAGGCTTAGGTTTTCAAGGATTTGAACATCGTCTCCATTCATTTGAATGTCAAAAAAATTGCAGAAAAAGGTTTATAATAATTTATATAGCTTTATATATTGTATACATCCGATAATCTACAGAACAAGCTGAAAGTTTTTGTTGAATGGTTTCTTAGAGACCATGGAAAGGCGGAAGAAGTAAGAATAATAAAATATAAAGATTTGAAGAACAATAACTAATAAACGGAATGTTCGTTTTTCGACCTGACAACAACATATAGTGGGATTGCTTCATTCAGCAATCCCACCAATAATATAGAGAAAGATTTTAATAACAATAGTATGAATGCTACAGCATTCAAAATTTGAATAATAATAATAAATACTAACAAATATAATAATGATAATAATACTAATACTACTACTACTAATAATAATAATAATAAACAGAATGTTCGTTTTTCGACCTGACAACAACATATACCGGGATTGCTTCATTCAGCAATCCCACCAAAAATAAAGATTTGAATAACAATAGTGTGAATGCTATAGCATTCATGTGAATGGTAGTGAATGGAATGTATGATGTGTACAGTACTGTGAGCCTGCTGTTGTAGCTGTTGTAGTTACCTCCACATCGGTTGTCTGCTGCAAGTCTTGGATCAGCTTCATGACACTGCCGAGGTTGTTTCTGATGGAGTCCATGGACTCTTTCTGTGCAGCTGCGATCTCCTTCACCTGGGAGCACAGCTCTGCGTGTTTTGCCTTGATGACTGTCAAGTTCTCCAGCATCACTGCCGGGTTCTCCTGCAGACACAGTATTTAGTATATATAGCAACAGAACAGAAAATATGGGATTTCCAAGATTGATTATGAAGATTATCAACAAAATTGTACACAAGTACTATTAAAATGTAAAAATGAATTCGGTACTTCTTTTCATTTAGTGTGGGGATGGTTTATTGTTTCTCCTTTTAGGACACTGGTATTCTCCCTAGCTGTCATTATTAGGGGACAGGTGTCTCCTGCCATCACATAGACTTCCAAACATGAAGTTGGACTTGATTTGGAAGATTAAGTCTTAACTTCAATGTCTGTTCTCGGTCACTGGAGGAGTCAGACAATGGTTCATGAATGAGTCAGACAATGGTTCATGAATGAGGGACATTTCCTCTTTGGAATATTTCATTGTGCCCTGGTTTGTTTTGTTCTGTTTGTTGTGTTACCTGTTCTTAATTGATTTACTGCAATATTTTCTCGTGTTGTATTATGTTTATGTATGAAAACACTGGGTAATACATTTCACTCTAAAATGTCTTGATAATCTTCAGATTTCATTATTTCTTTGATATATTCAGTGCCACCAGTACCAGAGGCAGCAAAGCCGAACCTCCACCATGTTTTACTGTAGATACGTGTTCTTTTCTTTATGAGCTTCATGTCGTCATCACCTATAAACTGATGCAGTGCATTCCCACAAAGCTCTGGAAACAATCACCTCCTTTTTATGCAACATAAACATCATTCATTGGTTAATTCAGGTCTTGTGGACACTGAAGATTAAGCATAGGTGAGTTATGTTTTTTATTTGGTTTGAAGAACTAATTTAAATCAAACAAAAGGTGCTAATAACTTTAATGTCTGTATTTTTAATTTAATAAGTGGACATTTTATTAAATATTCTGTTTATACAAAACTGGTTCATTTGCATTTATTTCTGAAGATTCTGAATTCTGTAGTTTGCCAATAATTTTGACCAGGACTGTGTGTTTGCACACAAATGACAGACCTGCCATCATGTCCTCAGTTTCCTGTGGACTGGGGATGGTGTCCTGTCTTAACTGTATGACAATGTTTAGAGAAACGGTGTCAGTGGAAGTACAGTGGTTACCTCAGCAGGAGATCCACTCTCTGCAGTGCTGTTGATGAAGTCCAGCCTCAGTCGCTTCTCAATGTATTCCAGGTCAGCCTCTGACTTCAGGAACTGCAAGGACACTCAGCTTTACACTTTAATGGTACATTGGCCAACTTGAGCTGCTTCTTTCTGCTCAAAAGTAGAAATTCAATACTCCTGCTGATACCTGGACTAACAAAATGATTATCAAAGTCAGGAACCATATGATCAGAGAATCAGTAAGCAAGACTACAAATCTGACCAGTTTAATGTCAACTTTCAGTGCTTTAGTACAGTTTCCAATACTCATTGCTACAGACACATTTCTGTTGGTAGCATAAAAATATAGATGAGGTAAATTAAAGTAGATAGAGCCGTCCTTAATGAAACCTACATGTTCTTTGTCCCATGTCTCTTGTTCTGACCTGAAACTGAGTTTTTAAAAGTATTAAAAATGCCATAAAAATCAATAAATAACACACTGTACAACTGCCAAGACTGATTTCAGGTGGTATTTGTTTTAAGTCAACTTCAGATTATCTGTTAAAACATGATTACTTCCTCAAATCAGGCCTATTGTCAGGAAGTTCCTTTGACATGGCAATGCAGCCATTATCTCTCCAGGGGTCGTTCACATTTTCCAGAATTCTTTGTAGATTTTTCTGGCAATATCTGACATCTGAGTTCAAGTAGCTAGTTTATTATGTAAATAAATTGTTAAAATTGTTACTGTTAACATGTGTGTTACATACTGACTATGTATGTTATTACAGATCATTCAGAAAGTCTTCAGACCCCTTCACTTCTTTCACATTCTGTTATGTTGCAGTTTTATGTTAAAATAATTTAAATCAATTTCCCCCCTCATCAATCTACATTCAATATCCCATGTTGACAAAGTGAAAACAGAATTTTAGATTTTTTTGCAAATTTATTCAAAATTAAAAAGTGAAATATCAAATTGATGAGTATTCAGACACTTTGCTATGACCCCTTGACTGAAGTTCACCTGTGGTAAATTCAGCTGAGTGGACATGATGTGGAAAGACACACACCTGTCTATGTATATATACACACAAACACACACACACATATATAAAATACAGATCGGAGCAAAAACCATGAAGAGGAAGGAACTGCCTGCAAAGCTCAGAGACAGTATCGTGTCAAGGCTCAGATCTGGAGAAGGATATAAAAACATTCCTGCTGTATTTGAGGTTCCCTAGAGTGACCTTCATCATTCTTACATGAAAGAAGTCTGGAACAACCAGGTCTCTTCCTACAGCTGGATCCCTGGACTAACTGAGACATCAGGGAAAAGGATCTTGGTAAGAGGGAGACCAAGAACCTGATGGTCACTCTGGCCGCAGAGATCCTGTGTGAAGATGGAGAAACTTCCAGAAGGACGACAATAACTGCAGCAACCCACTGATCTGGCCTTTATGGTGGAGTGTCCAGACGAAGCCTCTCCTCTCCTCTCAGTAAAAGACACATAAAAGCTGCTTGGAGTTTGCAAAAGAGCCACTTAAGGACTCTCAGACTGTGAAGATTCTGATGAAACGTAGATTAAACTGTTTGGCCTCAATTCTAAGTGTCATGTCTCGAGGAAACCAGGCACTACCTATCACCTCCCCAACACCATCCCACCGGTGAAGCATGGTGGAGGCACCATCAGGTTGTGGGTTTTTTTCAGCAGCAGGGAGAGGAAGCTTGGTCAGGGTTGAGGGAAAGCTGAACAGAACGAATGACAGAGAGATCCTTAATGAGAATGACTGGGCGTCTGAGGCCCTGAGTGCTCTGTACCAGTCTGGCGTCCACCAAATGGTCCCAATCCAACCTGACAGAGCTTAAGAGGATCTGCAGAGAAAGAACGGCAAAGAAATCCCCAAATCCAGATGTGCAAAGCTTGTGATGTCAGACCCAGGAAGACTACAGGCTGTAATCACTGCCAAAGGTGCTTTAACCAAGTCCTGAGTGAACTGTCTCAACAGTTATGTCAATATGATATTTAAATTTTTCCTTTCTAATTCATATTGTTGATAAATTATGTTTTCACTTTGTCATTATGGGATACTGATTGTAGATTGCTGAGGGAAAAATGTATTTAAATGATTTTAGCATAAAACTGCAACATAATAAAATGTGAGGAGTGAAGGGGTCTAAATACACTGTGTGCTGCCAAATAATTGCCAGAGGACTGTAGCAAGGTACTGTAATTCATACAAATCAATTAACACCTACCCCAAGTTTAGTGCACAGCATTTTATTCAAGCTGCAATGCTAAAACTGTGCAATGTTATTACATTTTTGTCATGTAAATCTAAATGACTGTGCACCTTCACCCCCAACATTAACACAAGGGAAGTTCATGTATAATTCAGCAGGGAACTAGAAAAGAGAACTAATTTTGCTCAGAAAAACACGCTCTCTCACACAGTGGTAAATATTTTGGCTGTGCTGGCTGCCTGCTGTAAAACCCATGAAAAACTTGTACTTTAACAAACACAATAGGAGCAGTAGTCTGGAGACACAAATATTTTTGCATACTATTTTCTTTTTCCATACTTATCCAGACCAGGAAATAACTAAAATCAAATTCCACACTTTTCCATACTGCACAGTAACCCTGTCTATCAGTTATTATTCAAAGCAGTTTGGAGGAGTCTGACTGTTTTACCTTGTGTAGTACAAGACAAAGTCAAGACAGATTAAGTTAGTAGCCAACACACTGATACACGTATCTGTTTCAGTGTCTCAAATTGCACACTAATTATTTTCAATTACTGAATTAAACATTTGAACATATGCGTAGTGCACTTTCACCTACCCATCTATCATGTTTACTTGAATTGATGCAGTCTAGATATGTAAAAGTACTCAGTGCAGCTGGTCTCTGCAGTTTTCAGATGCTTTGACAATACTATTGCACTGCTAGCTGTCTGATACAGTAGTGCAATGAAGTCAGAGCACCTGCCAACAGCTGGAATCTCAGAGTTTGGAAACTTTTCCTTTGCTTGTAACTATTTCTGGCCAATGCACTTTTAACATTGCACTGGTTTTCTAGCAATAGTACAATGTAAAAGGGCACTGGGCAGACGGCAGACTAGCTTAGCTAAAGGCTATAGTCTACAGTGGTATGCAAATGTTTGGGCTCCCCATGCAAATAATTTATTTTGTTGATTTTTGCTGTGAAAGGAAAGCCATGCAGCAAACAGACATGTACTGTTACTTTTTATATCATGAACATTTTCCACTATTGTTTGGAGCTGTTTCACCACCAACAACATTTTATTTCAATTGTTTCCGGCTGTGAGTAACAGCACACTCAAAAACTGACCATATTTAGTCTAAATTCTGTCTGCTTTAAAAGCCAAAACTCTGCTTAGAATCAGCAGTGTGGATTTGTAACACAGCAAGTGACATACTGTTGAAAGGTCTGGAAAAAGCTTGTAAGTGGACCTTGGGTTAAGACTGTTTGGTCAAACATTTTAAACCTGCTTTACTGAGCTATCTGCTGCTCTCTTTACAAGCTGACAACTCACTACAGACACAATTATGTTAGCTATTCACTGCATTTAAAAATCATTTTAAAGCCGCCCTGCTCTGCTTCCCATAATAATTACACAGGAGGAGTACAGGTCATTTTTTAGAGAAGGCTACTGTTAAACCAACACTGAAAAATATTTGAATAAAAAAAATATATTGAGCTGTACTGTATGTGAGTGCCTTCGATCCACATGCCTTATGGTGTTCCAGTTTAACTGGTGGTCATGTTGTCTGCTGATCTTTGTTTATATATTTCACTTCCTGTGCTCCAGATGTTGTTGTTCGCAGTTTTGTAAATTTTACCAATAGTAGGCCTACCTGTGTGTCTGTGAAGTGTGAGTCAATTTAAAATGCAAATCCATGTCAATGTGACCTACAAACAACAATTCGAACTGAACAATATGAAAAAATATAAGTATTTCGCAAGCCCTGCAATGGGATTCGAAATTGTGTTTCTGTGATATAAAGCTCAGTCAGATGTCTTCCTCATTGTGCCTCCAATCTGCTCAACAAAGTTCTGCTTTAACTACATAAATCTGGTATAATCTGTCAGCCGCTTAACACTTGTTAATGACTCAGGAAATACGCCCATGTTAACTGGTGACAGTCACAACACAGACAGATGCTGCCTACTTAAGAGCAAGCCTTAAATGCAAATGATTGCCTTACACAGCAAAACAAAAGGTGTAATGAAGAATACACAAGCCTCAAAGAAACTGGCTTTTGTTGGTTGCTAAAAAGTTCACATAGTGGTCTTTACAATGCACATACCAAACCCATGTCAGGTCATATATTTTAAAAAACCACTCACTGGTTATGTAAAAGCATCACTGGCATTATTGTGTGTCAAGTAAGTTTTCGTCTTTCATGAGTTCAGATAAACGGATCACTGGATTTGTTCAGCTTCCATGTATCCTCAACTTTTTTTCTTGTGGAAGTTGGCAGACATGATTTTAAAGGAGGAAGTGGTGGATGCTCCCTCTGATGAGCAGGGGACCAGTCATCTGAGAATGGAAATGGCCGAAAAGTGCTACTTACTTACTTAATAACATGACTATCTGAACTGTGTCGAGTGTGTGGTCAACATGACACACATGTGAAAAGGCTAAAGCAATTAGGAGCACTTGCAGTTGATAAATGTCTTGATGATGGAATTACCATGCATGTTTTTTCATTTATTTTCTGCCAGATTGAGTGCAGGCTTTGTGAGAGCAGGTTGCACTGGAGCAGTGTTGATCAACCAGCTCCAGTTTAATTACTTTGCTTTTTTATACTTGCTGAAGGTTTATATTTTCTTAAATTAAAGTTTATGATGCGGAGAACTAACCGTGTTGTTTTTATAGCCTCCTGTCATTTCAAAGTCAGTCTGTCTAACACAGTTTACATGGAAATGACGAATCTGCGAGTCAACATCTGGAGTTTGTTCGACGGACTCAACCGTAAACACAGACCATCAGACAACATGGCCACCCGTTCACCGGGAACAACGGGAATACGTTATAACACTGGACAACAGCCATATATTTTAATGAAGGTCATGTTATTAAATGTTGAAGACAGTTTGACGCTGCTTTAACAGCATAAGTCTAAACTGGCCTCACACTGGGCGTAGTGGTCACTTCATTAAGTTAGCCTGTAAGCGAGAGTGTTTCAAACGAGGCTGTATCGTTTGGTGCTCTAACGGGCATGTTGAATGGCGCAAAGGAGTTTTAGGTGTTTACTGATAACGTTACAAAGAGAATATTAAAACATGACTGCTACTCTGTAATTATTCAAGTGGGTTAAAAGCAATTTAAGGAAAAGAATATAACAGACAATAAGAGAGTTTTACACTGCGCTTACCATTGCCTCAAGCTTATCAACTGTTGTCTCCATGTTGAATAGTTTTCGATCTGATGCGGGCTCTGTGATTGGCCAGCTGGAAGGAATAGAGAAAGCCAATTGGGCAGCAGTGTGTGGAAAGAGCCTTCACTCTGCTCTGTGAGTGTCGCTGCTATGGATGTACTGGGCTCAAAGATGGCGTCGGGTCACATGACTAAAAACCATGGATGTATAATAAGAACTGGATATAGGACCTAAAATGGCGCTTATTCAGTTCAGCCCTATAGGAATTACTCGCCTGGCAAAAAAAAGAGTTTCCGGCTTCCGGGTTATGGGTGCATCCTGCCCACTGAATATGCGCAGTAGTACTTCTCCCATCATGCTGGGCTGTGAGAACGAGGAAACTCAAACTGCGTTTTGGATCTGGAGCCGCACGTTCATGAATGCAATGCTAGTGGTCTTCATGGACTGGATTGGGGCTTGAAACCATGTACTGTAACAATTTACATTTACTCGAGTACTGCATTTAAGTACAGTTTGGAGATACTTGTCTTGTACTTAGCATGAGTATTTCCATTTTATGCTACTATACTGCCACTACAGCTCCACCAGTGATTTTTCCCTCTGAACTTCTCATATGATTTCATGTCAATAAATGTTTAGATGATCCAAAATCTCACCAAAAATCAAAGATCAGAGAAATATTCTAAAGACTGAAAAACGATTTGTAAATCAGAACTTTAGTTTTTCGTCTTTCCTCTTTCATTAACGATCTGCTGACCCCTCAGACTGATCTGGTGTCCGTAGATTATATAAATTAGTTCAAACCAGCTCCAGCAGCACAACAGTAACATGATGCTGGCACACTGACTTCCCATGATCTGCCCCACTGTTTACAGCAATGCTGCCACTGCAGCCACCACAACAATATATATAAAACATATATCAAACTCAGAACATTCATACAGATTCTGCACATTCTCCAATTAATTGATTGGGCATGGGATTATAAGTACTATAAATAGATTTTATTTTGTATGTTGATTAGAATGTATTGTATAATGTAAAACAAACATACAAACACACACACAAACACACACACACACACACACACACACACACACACACACACACACACACACACACACACACACACACACACACACACGTGTTTTATCTCCCTCACACTTCT